GACTCTTCTCACACCTCAGTGGTTTTTGGCAGAAGTACCTGGCAGACCATGCTATGAAACTGGATCCCCCTCTCTGTTTTTCAGTGTTGTTCAATAGCTCAATGGGAGATATAAGGTCTAGGGTGGAGAAACCTAGGGATTTAGGGAAAGCGTATGCTTCATGTTGTGCTCTATGGGGCCAGATTCTGCATTGTCTTTGTCCTGGCCTGGCTTCAGCTACTGCCATGGAGTTAACGCTAACTGTACTCCTGTATTTAATAAAATGTAAATTGGGTTCTCTCCTTAAGCATTGTGCATATATATAGCAAATAGGAAATAGGATTAGAAGAAGACAACAAATTAGCCAACAGTAGTAATGTTAGCTGTCTTCTCCCTACAGCCATCTTATTTCCTGCTGCCTTTCCTGTGGGATTACAGGTATTCAGCTGGTCAAATACTGTCCTGGTATGTTCCTACAAGGATTCCCACTGAGTTCAATGTGACTTGCTCGTGTCTATCTCTGGGCGTAGTAAAGTGTATTCCTGGGTTAGGAGAGTGCCAAGAAGTTACCTACAGGAGGCAAAACTCGAGCAGAGAGGAGGGGAGGGGTGTTTTGTTCAGGGTTTTGTTTTGTTTTTTTTAAATAGGTGAGAACTGACTATGACAAAAATCCTGCCCTAACTCATGAATGCAACCCAACGCCTGAATAACTGAAACCAGATTTTGCCCCAATTACTGGAAAGTAATTCTTCTCTTGTCTTTATGACCTGTATTTCTCTTAATAGGAAGCTTCAACTTCATAAGAAGAAATAAAATTCAGCCCTAACTCAAAAGTAAGTTGATAGGGGGAAACATTTTAAACTTTAAAAAATACACACCCCACTCAGTGAACCTTTGAGACCTGCAAATGTTTAAAAAGAAAAAAAAAAAATAAAAGCCAACTAAAAACCCACAGCAGCTGCAATTTGAAAAACAACACTCTGATGCTAACAATAAGTAATTTTAATCATAAGTACCTCATAGCTTATTTGCAGATAGTTGTACACTCGGAGAAGGAAAAAAAAAAACCAACAACAAAAAACCCCCCTGTAATAGGCCTTAGGTCAGCTGCATTGATTTAATGCATTACTTAGGCTGCCAGAGCAGAGGTAGAATCTCCTCGCACTGCATTAGGAGCGCCTCAAGCCTCCGTGACTCCTTTTGATCAAATCTCTGTGAAAGATGAGTGTCGTGCCCTCTTCAAGCCAGCTGTGAGGGGACTGCCCTGCGACTGGAGGAGCACGCTGGAGCTCAGCACTCCGGGGCAGCGAGGTGAGAGCTGGCTGCAGAGGTGAGAGGCAGACACAACTTCGTACTGTAGGTCTGGAGAACACCAAGGGGGAGGATCTTATTTCACTCCCCTGTGCACAGCCTGAGCATACATCAGACCTTGAGGTGCTCAGAGTCAGACAAGAGTAAAGAGGCGTGTGATGGTTCTGCCTTAGTACTTGTACAGGCAGGAGTGTTTCCAGTACTTCTTTGTACAACTCACTGAGGGAATGGGAAACTGTTTTATAGCTCTGGAAACATAAGCACAGTAAGAATGTCTGAGGTAAGGAAAGTTCTTTGCAGTTCTATATGAATGTGTATTTTTACTGTGCAACTTTTACTTGTGGTTATGCACTGTGGAGATATAAAAAAATCTTGCGATGGTGTTGTTTTGGGTAATGAACAATGGATGTGAGAGCTTTAGGGAGCTGTGCTCTCCATTTCTTAATTACGAAAAGATACTGGGAAAGTAGAAAACTAGTTTATGTAAAAAATCCTGTTTTTCTTTCTGCTGTGCACTGTAAAGAACTGTATGACTTTTCTGTTCTACAGTAAGTAATGCAGAATTGCAGGCTGATTATAATAAGCAGAGCCATCACTTGTGTAATTGTTTTCCAATTGAAGTAGTAGCGTGTAAATCATAAATACTTGACAATGTTTAATTGTACAAGTCCTCAATATACATTAATAGCAATAAAATCTGTGATTTGTGACTCGGATGTGTTCTGAGTCAAGTGCTTTAAGCAGATACATTATCATTATCATGACGTATAAATGCACTGGAGAGCAGACAACAATGTAATTTCACTATGAAGTTCTTTAGGATTACCACTAAAGTGGAGTTTAATGTATGCCCTTTGTATACAATTTATTGTTGACTATTTAGCATCCAGAAAATAAGGCCAGTAATTATTTTCTTAGGATCAATCTGTTTGTATTTGGGGGAGGACAGGGGGGGTAGAATAAGTGTATGTTTTTGTGTGTGTGTGTGTATATATGGGGGGGGTGTCTTTTTTTTTTTTTTCTTACTATATTGTGCTAATTAAGAGGTTAAATGCATCAGAATACAAAACACTTATTTATTTTTATTCTTTTTTTCATCATGTAGAAAAATAAACATGGTTTAATTGTCAGCTCATACATAATGAGGTTTTATTGGATGTATTTAAGATACAGCATTTTACTTTCTGGTTTATTAATTGGTCAAATACTTTTAGTCCTCTGTGTAATGAATCCTTGGTTTAAAAATGAGGAGAGGGCAGATCGCTAACCCAGGGGAGGACTACTGATATACACAGTCTGTGGTTTATCCTTCTCTAAAATCCTATGGATAAGAAGTGACTATTTTTTTTTTTCTCTTTCTTTATTTTTCTTTTTTTTTCCTCTTTTTTTTTTTAAAAAAAAAAAAAATGTTTTTCAGTGTGAATAAACTGGGAGCCAGGCACCGTTCTGATATTTTGGGGATGTGAGAGAGGAAAAAAATGAAATAAACTACATTTGTTTTAATTTAAAACAAACCATTGTTTGCAAGGCATTTAGCAGTCAGTTTTCACATCTGATCTGAAGTTGGAGTTTAATGTGCTCATTTAGTCGAGATTGTTGTTCAAGCGATTTCTATATATATTTTTGTAATTCATGTAACTACTTGGCTTCTTGAACCTCGGGAGCTGATTGTTTGTCTTATCTTTTGGTGAGCTAACTCTGCGTTATGTTGCAAAACCTTGAGGCATGTTGTGTTTCTTCGTGTTCCTGCAGTCTGCAAGTGAAGTCAGCTTCATTAGTTTCATGATGGCACATCAGTGCGTGGCTGGTGTTGCCGCTTCCTTCAAGCTACTCCCGGAGCATGATCTGGGCTGCCTTGGTTTGGATAAGCTTGTAAGGATTTGTCAGCCAGATGTGACAAGATTGTCAAGAGGCAAGTAAAGAAGGAGATCTGATATTAATCAGTGCATAGCTTGGAGCCAAACTTTCTCAAATGCAGTGTAGTAACATGTTCTTCTCATTTACTGCTTCTCTTTGTGGCTATAGAACTGCCACTGTCTGAGTTTGACGGTTAAAAGGGATGCCAGCTAATAGTCTTTAATTGTAAGGATACAATTCTAGGTGGGAAAAAAATCATATGCTTCTATTTTTAACATCCTTTTGGAAAATACAGTTCTGTTTACTGCAGTTTGCTGAAAAATATGCAAGCATTATGTTAGACGAGTCTCTGTTTCTGTACTTTGATTTTAAAATACTGAAATTGTGGCTCAGCTCTCAGTGCTGGAGGAATGGGAGGTGGGGATCCTCACTCCACTCCAGGTCATGGTGCAAAAGAGGAACAGCATTATTTTTAACTACTAACAACAGTGCGTGTTGGTTTTCTTTGTTCTAGTGATTAGAACAATAAACACTGAAGAATACCTTTCTAGTTTCTTCTTTTACAGAAAAGGGGGAAAAAAATACAGACTTTCAAAGAATGTATCATGTATATTCCATTAGGTCCATTTACCTTTATGTGTATAATGCTAATAAGTTTTCTTTATAATCAGTATAATTGTGCATTTCTGTTTGAATTAAACTCTAGAGGTTTTAGTAGTTTGCAGCTTAATCAGACTTTTATTTTAACAATAGGTGCACATGTAAAAAGTAACTAATCTTATGTTCTGGAAAATACATTTTTATTATACTTAATTATGTGGGGGTTTGCTGGATTTATTTTTTAAAAGTAATTGTTCTGTTTATCCTTTGAACTACCAAACCATCTACAACTTATTCAGAGCCCTAAAAATAATGGTATCTGCAAACATATCAAAACCTGCAGGAGTGCTAAATCTCCACAGAAACAGGAAAAATTATTACAAATATTGAGCCACTTCATGGGGCTTTACTATAGCCGAGATGAAATTCTGCCTACTCAGGCTTCAACAAGGTTTGGCCTTTTGGTACCAAATGTCTTGGCTTCCAGCTTCCGTGCCTGTTCGTGATATTGGTAAAAAATCTGCTCATACAACATTGAACGTGTCACTCCATTTCCAATCAAACAAGCCAGTGATTTACTTTGTTTTCAGTAATTAAGACTTGATTATGATGATATTAAATACGCCTCTGATAAGAACAGAATATTCTCCTTTTATTTTAGATTACAGTTTTTGTTACATACGCATTTTTTAAAAGCGCTTTTTTGTATGATTTGGCATTTAGTAAACATTTTTCATACAGGTTTGAGCTAAAATTTAGGTATGGATCTTGATTATGTTATTCCAGCAAAACATCCACCAAATGCAAGGAAGAAAAACTATTGTTTTGGCCCTCTGGGTCATCTCCTGCTCTTCCTGGCTTCCGTGGTGCAGGAGATCTCACAGTTCCTGTGTGCTGGGCAGCCAGCAGTTCTTGTCCTGGCATATGCCACAACTGAAGTTTTACAGCAAGTGTCATCACATTTCTTCTTTTTAGTTTTTATTTTTTTATTATTTTGTTGATAATTGCTCTCTAAAAAAATCTGCTTAGGACCTGAAATTTCAATTTTCAGACTGAAAAAAGATATTATTGAGGGAACGAGGGAAAGTGTCAATTTCTAACAGACTTCAGTTATTTTAGAATAAAGAACAATGACATTTCATTCTATAATAAAACCACAGTAGGATTGTTTCTCTAAACAAATAGGGAAAAAAAAAAAAAGAAAAAAAAGTCAAAATCCAAACTTTTAACTTGAAGTTTCAAGTGTAGCTGATTATCAGTGAGAAATTGGTATTTTCATTTGAAAGTAACTGATGTCTGAAAGCCAGTTAAAAATTTCCTCACCTGTGTTCAATAAAAAGGAATGCTAAGTCTTAAATTGTGAAATTACCAATGGAGCTACACTGTTGCGTAAAATATTGCATAACTGTAGCACCATAGATAGTATCATGTGTATGTGTACAAATACTGTTTGGGTTTAAAATTTATGAAATTGCATTAAATGAAATTGTGTAACACTAAATATTTCAGAAAGCTGTTATTTTTCTTTTATTCTTTAATCTATGTCTTCGCTCTGTAACAGGAAAAAAGGAAAAAAATTAAGCATGCCTGTTTTATGGTTCTGAGACTTCAGCAGTGGTGTGAGGAGCTGAAAAAGTTAGGATTGTCTTTGAAACATTAACTCACCCACATTGCGCACATGTAACATTTTAGATATGAGGTAAAGAGTAAAAGACGCATTTTAAAGGGCTTGGGGTTGATTTATACTGATAGTCTTAATTTCTCTGATACTTGTGCATTTGTGTTTATAACAGTTACTTCTCACTAACATAGGGCTTGGAGTTAAATATTTAATTGAACGCCAGTTCACGGATAGGTCTGTAGTTTCAGCGTTTAACATGGTATGTGTAGCGTGTCAATGCGGATAAATAGCATGTGCGCAATTTATTTCCTAGATTGAATAGCATCCCGTGCTTTGGCGTAAGAAAATTCACACCGTTTCTAGCCAGTGACTTATCTTTACCCCTAAAGCCTTGGCAATTTTTTTCATTAGTATGCAGCAATCTGTTACTCATTTTTGGAATGCACTAATAAGAATGATTTTTTTTTTTTTTCCTGTAAATTTATTAAAAAGGGAAGTTACTTCAGTATCTGGTGATAGACGCTGCTTAACACTCAGCAAAATGTTTCTGACCTGTGCAGGCTGGGGCAGGTGTGCTATGGGAATAGCATGCATTGTAGTCTGCTTCAGAATCAAAATAAATAACAAGTATAGGATAATGATAATGAGACTTTTTTCATTCCTAAATTTCTATTTCTTGTTTCCTTTTCCAAACCAAATGGTAAAAGAGGATGTAAATATGTTCCCAAGTTTGACCAAGCTGCCTGTCAGCATACACCTGTTGTTAACAAGTGAGATTAATTGCAGCGTAAGCCAATGTATCTATAAGCACGTTGCTGAACAGCAAAATTCAGTTTTACTGTCCGGAGCTTTTTGTTTAAAAAGTAGCAGTCTGAGTGTGTGTGCTCACTCGCACACACGCGCACACACATGCTTTTCTCTTTATAATTATTTTGACAGTGCCATTAACAAGAGTTGCCCTAAGGGGCCCTTTAGGGTAAGTGACATGCATGAGGAGTGATTTTCATCCCACAAGTTATGCTGTGATTAAAGTTTGGCCTTGTAGCGTGCTGCCTTTCTCAGAAACAGCTCCCTTCTGCTTCCTCGCCCCGCGCCTCGCCCGAGATTGCCCAGAGTCCTCGCCATTAGCCGCGAAAGCTGACGCTGAGCCCAAAGTTGGCTGTAGGGTTGTGAGTCTGTATTTAGTTTAGTCTCTTATCTCA